ATATGGGTTTCACTTTCTGAAATGAGTGACAAAAAATATTGAAATATTGAAAATATTGAATATGTACATTTTTGAGATGTACCTGTATGTAACCAGTCTTAAAGGTTAAAAAAAGAAAGAAAAAAAGTGATGACTAAATTGTAAGACTAATCTACATCTCCAATATAGTATCCTAGTGGTTGCGCGGGTATTCTGTTTGGTTGCTATTCCATTGATAAGATGCTCTGAATGGTGGCTAGGCAGTTGCTAAGGTTGTTTCTATGTAAAAATGTTTCATGGTTACTGTACTCACAATGTTGAGTAGGATGAAAACGCCATCAATCACAAGACACAGGAAACTGGAAATGATACCAAAACTCAGGAACATAATGGCTGCAATCAGCTGGACAGAAAAAGAAGAATGGATTACAGATACAATTGAGTTGACAGCCAAAAGAGGTGTGGTCTATTTTTCAAAATATGTAATGATATTAATTACCTGGAATATTTTTTTTCCTTTTGATTAAATATAAATAATGTAATAATAAATAACAAAATATAAATAATACAAAATAAAACAATGTAATATAAATACAATTGCATTAAAAGTTTAATGCCCTAAAGTCTAAAGTTGATTCTAAACTCCATTATACAAATACAGGCTTGAGATAGAGCATTACTGACCCTATGCTAATTCATTCAGCTGTCGTATACTGTAATAAAACACAATATGTTGTCTAGGTCATTTAATTTTGTCATACATATAATTGCTATAAATTTATAGAACTATAATCAAGCACTATAATCAAAGTTGATGTCATTTACAAGCTTAAGTCATACAGTGAAATGTGTACCCCTTATAAAAAAATACTCCACTGGATAGAATGACATGAATAATATTTTACAATATACATAATATAATACAACATACAATGATAATAATACATTTTACAATATAAATAACATATCACATTTATAATACATTATTGCTTCAATTAAATGAGTTAATATGCAGCTCTCACATAATGCACTACTGCACCACAAGAAATATATTATTGCATGGTAATGATCATAGTCATCTTAAATAATCATGACAGGCCTAATATTACATAAAACAGCTTTATTTGACATGAAATCTACTGTAGTAAATACCTTTCCTAGTAAATGTACTATTCATACATGTGCACATACACACAGTCTTTGTCCTTGTCAAAAATCCGATAAATTTAATGTGATTCCTGGGGGCACAATAAAAACTTATCTGGCTTTGAAACAAACCATAAATTACATATTACTGACAGTAACTCAACCCAATGTCATAGTGTATTTATTTTAACATGCAATATGATATCCACAGGCACACATCTCTTCTCAACTGATCAGAGACAGACATCTAAGAGAATCTGAACCCACCAACAGAGAGACAGATGCACATGAAAAGAAAAGGAGAGCCCAGAAGAAAGGAAGTGAACAGTAAATGGACATACTGTATGTAAAGGTCAATGGAGGAACAGAGAGGAGCGTAACAGGAAGGAAGATAAAAGGACAAGGTCCACACTTATGATATCTGGATGCATGCTTCTTGTTCAGTTTAGTGAAATCTATACCAGATGTGAATCACAGTTCAAAGTTGGAAATGAGGAAGACATATTAAATATATAATTAAACCAGACATACACAAGCATACATTTTTGACCAAATATAGTCTTTTGCATTTAGACTTTGAAAAACATTTAGACTTTATGTTTTGCTTACAAATACATCTTCATTAAGCTCCCCACTTTGTCTGTTGTTTGTCTGACCAATGGCA